CGGTGTGTGTGTGTGTATGAAGCGACAGGTTTGTACTGTACTCTGTGTGTGTGTGTGTGTGTGTGTGTGTGTGTGAGAGAGAAATGTCAGCTTTGTACTGTACTTTGTGTGTGTGTAGCGTCAGGTTTGTTCTGTACTCCCGGTGTGTGTGTGTGAGAGAAGCGACAGGTGTGTACTGTACTCTGTGTGTGTGTGTGTGTGTGTGTGTGAGAGAGAGAGAGAAGCGACAGGTTTGTACTGTACTGTGTGTGTGTGTGTGAGAGAAGCGTCAGGTTTGTACTGTGTGTGTGTGTGTGTGTGTGTGTGTGTGTGTGTGTGTGTGTGTGTGTGTGAGAGAGAGAAGCGTCAGGTTTGTACTGTAGTGTGTGTGTGAGAGAGAGAAGCGACAGGTTTGTACTGTACTGTGTGTGTGTGTGTGTGTGAGAGAGTTGTGCCAGTTTGCCTCTCTCTATATTTGGCTCTGGTAAAGATAGCCGCGTCGCCTGTAACCTTATAAACTAGTTGAGTCTTCAGCTCGTCTCTTGCCGCAGTCCTGATTCATTCACAAAAGCGTCCGCACGTCAGATGCACAAAGCCCAGTAATAAACATGTTCTGCAGAACCGGAAGCTCACGGGTCACCGGACCTGAACGAGCTACTGATGACATCACAAGGACTTCACCAATCCTGAACCTCCAGTTTTAGCACTAAATTTGAAGAAGCACCAAATAATTAATTCTTATTATATTTCACTATGTTAGTTTTCCTTTAAAAGAAAAGCTTGATGGTTTAACTTTTGAAAATGAAGAAATTAAAGGTGCAGTGTGTAATATTTAGGAGGATCCGTTGACAGAAATGCAATATCATACACATAACTGTGTTTTCAGTGGTGTATAACGAGCTTACTTAATGAAGCGTTATGTTTTAATCAGCTGAGGATGAGCATTTCTCTCTACACACACACACCGCGGGTCTCCTTACATCCACATGTTTCTACGGTGGCCCTGAGCGGACACACGCGTTTCGTCACGGTGTTGTTCTTCGTGCAGAGAAGCTGTAGCTAAAGCCAGCCAATAAAACACTGACACAATGATGAACAATCACAATAATATTCAATAATCAAGTAAACCTTATTTCTTACTTTATCTTTGTAAAGAAAGCTCATTGCTTAACTCTCTGCTGTCTCAGACGACGACATCACTTCCTGTCGGCCACCGTAACTTCTGTTGGGTGCAATTCACAACCTCACCACTAGATGATGCTATAATCACACACTGCAGCTTTAAGACATAAATATTAGTATTTAAATTTTTTACAAATATACACATTATTTTACTCAATTGTTATTTCACAGTACAATAGTAATATTCCCAGAGTAAAATATATTTCTTATTTTGTTTAATAAATGTAACTTCTAATCTAATGATCATAAAAATCTTAATAAATATAGGGATGCGCCGATATATTGGCCAATAATTGGTTTTGGAAATTTAGTATCTCTAATAATAATTAGCCAGATTGTGAAGCCCTATAAACAAGTACAGCAAACCTCAAGCTCTTTTAAAAACATGCGATTTAAATTGCACTCGTAAGAAAAATCGCAAATAGATTTTTCTTCCCAAATTGATCAAAACTTTTAAAGATGTGATTTTTCTGCCATTTCAAGGGTTTTATAGTCAAAGGCCTGTTTTAAGGGACTTCTGAAGTGAGTTAGTCTTCGAGCAGGAGTGTGTGTTTGTCTCCGGAGAGACCATGCAGCGTTTGAAGATTATGTGTTCAGGTCTGGATCTGCTGTGGTAAAGGTGGAGTGTGTTATTAGTGTTTTAGTGTTATTAGTGAAGTGTGTAATTAGTGTATTCCAAGTGTTGATCGGATAATCCCGCACCAAACTCGCCATGTTGGATACGAGAAATCACGGTAACACTTTATTTTACAGTGTCTGTTACATATGTTGCATTTACTTACCATAGTAATAACAGTAAATTATGCATAATTACATGCAACTAACCCTCAACCTAATCCTACCCTAACCCTATAGTAAGTACATGTAACTACTGAGTGATATTAATTAACAACATGTATAATTACACGGTAACAATGACACCTTAAAATAAAGTGTACCCGAAATCACGTGTAAAAACCACACACTGAATCAGCGCTTCAAGAACTTTTGACACGTGCGTTAAACATTGTAAACACTAATTGAATTGAACCCATAATTAAAGTCCCCCTGTGGTGTAAATCCAGCTTTTAATGTTGTTTATGTGGTGTTTTTAATTTGCTTTAAGACACACCATGTGAAAGTTCATAAGTCGACAGCATTGCTGAGTATTTCCTCCTTAAAACTGCAGTGAACCAAAGACAGTCTCAAAAACACGGTTTGAAATCGCTGGTGTTTCTGACGTCACAAACGACCTTGTAACCAATCAGATCAACGTGTGATCGTCAACCAGTGGATCTCTGAGCTGAGCGAGTGAGTGGAGGCGGGGCTCATTTGCATATTCATAGAACCGCGAATACTAAATGAGGCAAGGGTGTCGAGTTACATTCAAGCTATTTTAAGGCATAAAGAAATTTTGTGATGTCATTTTGGTGATCAAAGATGAGTTTTAAGGGATAAAGTGATTGACTACAGGGGGCCTTTAAGGCCGTGTGTCCACCAAAGCGTTTTTACACGCGGCTGGCGTATGTTTTCAATGGGAGCGCCGCGTTTTTTAAACGCCATGAGCGTAACAAGGCGCTGAATGTTTTTTTTTCACGCTGGACCGCCGAGCGCCCGGCGTTTTTTACTGGTCGCCGAGAGTTGAAAAATGTTCAACTTTGGGTAAACCGCAGCGCTCATCACTGTCACTTTTACCCAGCCGTCCAATCACAGTGGAGGAGGGGCGGGGCTAACACCACACCGACCAACTGCCACAACATTCTTTCTGTAACGACATCAACCAGCAGAGCTAACCGAACAACATGGATGAAAAATACATTTTTAGAATTTAACAAATTATCTGCGAAATCAGTTACAAGTAAACTGTGCTGCGGATATTCTGTATCATAGCAACGAAACGTCTCAACGGAAAAAAACGCTGCCAAAACGCTCTCAAGCGCCCACAGCTAGGCGTCTTCAGGAGAGCGTCGGCTAGCGCTTTCAGCTGGCTAAAAACACTTTGGTGGACACACGGCCTAAAGCCTGTATAAAGCCTTGATTTTGAAGCGACTGTGAATGTCTCTCTCTCTCTCTCTCTCTCTCTCTCTCTCTCTCTCTCTCTCTCTCTCTCTCTCTCTCTCTCTCTCTCTCTCTCTCTCTCTCTCTCTCTCTCTCTCTCTCTCTCTCTCTCTCTCTCTCTCTCTCTCTCTCTCTCTCTCTCTCTCTCTCTCTCTCTCTCTCTCTCTCTCTCTCTCCTAGGTTTTGTCAGTAGGTGCTGCGTCTCCATGCAGATGCTCCGGGTGAAATGAATAAGGCACCTCAGCCTCAGCCTCACCCCTCCGGCCCCCCCCACCCCTCCGCCCCGCTCCCCGCGCCCTCACCGGGCCTGCCCCAGGTAAAACACACCCATCTTTTATATATATATATATATAGTGGTCTTCAGACTGCAGTCCAGGGCACCACAAAGCCTGTAAATAATATAGTTTAAAGCATAAATAATGAAAAAAATCTAGTGTACTTTATATATTCCAATAAATAATTTTGCTTGTAAATGTCTGCTTGTCAGTAAAAAAAACTAAATTTTCATTGCACCCTTAAAGGGATAGTTCACCCAAAAATGAAAATTAGCCCATGATTTACTCTCCCTGAAGTCATCATAGGTGTATATGACTATCTTCTTTCAGACGAACACAATCAGAGTTATATTAATAAATGTCCTGGCTCTTCCAAGCTTTATAATGGAGGATGAGATTTTGAAGCCCTAAAAAAATGCATCTCTCCATCATGAAAGTGCATCTGTCCATCATAAAAGTGCATCTATCCATCATAAAAGTGCATCTATCCATCATAAAAGTGCATCTGTCCATCATAAAAGTGCATCTGTCCATCATAAAAGTGCATCTATCCATCATAAAAGTGCATCGGTCCATCATAAAAGTGCATCTATCCATCATAAAAGTGCATCTGTCCATCATAAAAGTGCATCTATCCATCATAAAAGTGCATCTATCCGTCATAAAAGTGCATCTATCCATCATAAAAGTGCATCTATCCGTCATAAAAGTGCATCTATCCATCATAAAAGTGCATCTATCCATCATAAAAGTGCATCTATCCATCATAAAAGTGCATCGGTCCATCATAAAAGTGCATCTATCCATCATAAAAGTGCATCTATCCGTCATAAAAGTGCATCTATCCATCATAAAAGTGCATCTATCCATCATAAAAGTGCATCTATCCATCATAAAAGTGCATCTGTCCATCATAAAAGTGCATCTATCCATCATAAAAGTGCATCTATCCATCATAAAAGTGCATCTATCCATCATAAAAGTGCATCTGTCCATCATAAAAGTGCATCTATCCATCATAAAAGTGCATCTATCCGTCATAAAAGTGCATCTATCATCATAAAAGTGCATCTATCCGTCATAAAAGTGCATCTATCCATCATAAAAGTGCATCTATCCATCATAAAAGTGCATCTATCCATCATAAAAGTGCATCTGTCCATCATAAAAGTGCATCTATCCATCATAAAAGTGCATCTATCCGTCATAAAAGTGCATCTATCCATCATAAAAGTGCATCTGTCCATCATAAAAGTGCATCTATCCATCATAAAAGTGCATCTGTCCATCATAAAAGTGCATCTGTCCATCATAAAAGTGCATCTGTCCATCATAAAAGTGCATCTATCCATCATAAAAGTGCATCTATCCATCATAAAAGTGCATCTGTCCATCATAAAAGTGCATCTATCCATCATAAAAGTGCATCTATCCATCATAAAAGTGCATCTGTCCATCATAAAAGTGCATCTATCCATCATAGATATCACAGATGCGCTTTTATCATGGACAGATGCACTTTTATGATGGACAGATGCACTTTTATGATGGATAGATGCACTTTTATGATGGACAGATGCACTTTTATGATGGATAGATGCACTTTTATGATGGATAGATGCACTTTTATGATGGACAGATGCACTTTTATGATGGACAGATGCACTTTTATGATGGACAGATGCACTTTTATGATGGATAGATGCACTTTTATGATGGACAGATGCACTTTTATGATGGACAGATGCACTTTTATGATGGACAGATGCACTTTTATGATGGATAGATGCACTTTTATGATGGACCGATGCACTTTTATGATGGATATGTGCACTTTTATGATGGATAGATGCACTTTTATGATGGACAGATGCACTTTTATGATGGACAGATGCACTTTTTTTGGACTTCAAAAATCTCGCCCTGCATTAACTCCCATTATAAAGCTTGGAAGAGCCAGAACATTTTTTAAATGCCTCTTTGATTGTGTTCGTCTGAAAGAAGAGTCATACACACCTATGATGGCTTCGGGGTGAGTCAATCATGGGGTAATTTTCATTTTTGGGTGAACTATCCCTATGCTCTCCTAAATCTTTCCACTTTGGAGCACCTTGAGTTGGAAAGTAAGCATCAAGTCCTGCTCATGATTAAATGTTTTGTGTGTGTGTGTGTGTGTCTCTTCAGCCCAGTTATCCTGGTACTTCGGTGTACAGCACCCCCCCGCCACAGATGAACCCTGCAGCCCAACCCCGACAGGTACGGCACCCCAAATACCCCCATCTACTGTGGGTCCGGTCAGGTGGGCTTCAGGAAGTCTCTTTCCCACATTATTTTTCTCCATTGGCATTTCAGTGTGGCTAATCAGTCCTTCCAGAAAAATCTTGTAAAATTAGTTTATTTATTTAGTCAAATTAGTTCATTTATTTAGTCAAATTAGTTTATTTATTTTGTCAAATTAGTTTATTTATTTTGTCAAATTAGTTTATTTATTTTGTCAAATTAGTTTGTTTTGTAAAATTAGTTTATTTATTTTGTCAAATTATTTTATTTATTTTGTAAAACTAGTTTATTTATTTAGTCAAATTATTTCATTTATTTTGTCAAATTAGTTTATTTATTTTGTCAAATTAGTTTATTTATTTTATCAAATTAGTTTGTTTATTTTGTAAAAATTAGTTTATTTTGTAAAATTAGTTTATTTATTTTGTCAAATTAGTTTATTTATTTTGTCAAATTAGTTTATTTATTTTGTAAAACTAGTTTATTTATTTTGTCAAATTCGTTTGTTTATTTTGTAAAATTCGTTTGTTTATTTTGTAAATTTCGTTTGTTTATTTTGTAAATTTCGTTTCTTTATTTTGTAAATTTCATTTGTTTATTTTGTAAAATTTGTTTATTTATTTAGTTAAATTGTTGTTTATTTTGTAAAATTCGTTTATTTATTTAGTAAAATTTGTTTATTTATTTTGATTTTAGTTTTAGAACAAATTAAAATGTTGCCTTGATTTTTTCAGTATTTTATTTATTAACATAATTTGTTTTTTATTTTAGTTAACTATCAGAACTGCCACTGTCTTTTATAAATGAATCGAACTTAAAGTCAACAAGTCGTAAGATGACAAGCAATCGCAACATTAATCTCAGTATTTAGACTTTTCTTATTGTAGATCTTGAAAGGGATTTTGGCTAAAATGAGGATCCTACTGAAACTTTCTGAGATTCATGGGGGTTTTGTCTAAATAATTGTTGAAAACAGTCCTTGAACAAGCCCGAGGAATCATCAGCGAGTTAATATCACACACTCGGCCCTGCATCCTCCTGACCTCGCGCTGTGTGTGAGACTCGTGCGACTGAGGTGCTTCTGGGAAAATGAGCTTTTGTGGATGGTGTTGCTTCAGTTTCTTGACCTTTGACCTCTGTGTGGCTTTCTCTTTCTAGTTTGCCTCAGGTCCTAGAGCTTTACCACAACAGGTACTAACACACAGACACACACACACACACACATTGAGCAAGACCTGAAACCTCAGTGTCACATGGAATGAATTCTGCATGGGATTCTCAGTGTATTATAGCGTTTTAAATTAGTTTTCTTTTTTCATTTTCATTTTAGTGTAAGTTTTAGTACTTTTGTTCTTTTTTATTTGACTGTATTAATTTAAGGTTTAGTATTTACTAATATTTTGAATGTTTTCAAATAAACATTACAAAATATTCACAACAAAACTACTAAAACAAACCAAAATGAAAATATATAATGAAATATAAATATATAATATAATGATAAAGAAAATATAATTTTATATTTTCCGTTTTCATTTTCGTTTTAGTAGTTTTGTTGTGTATTTGTTAGTGTTTTGAATTGAGTTATAATTTCAGTTTTAGTAATTCTGTTGTGTATTTTTGTCATTTTTATTAGTTTTTTTTATATGACTAGTGTTTTTTTATTTATTTAGGTTTTAGTATTTATTAATATTTAGAATTCGTAAGAATATTTACATTTAAATTTTCTGGTTTAATTTTAATTTGTTTTAGTAATTTTGTGTATTTTTGTCACTTTTATTAGTTTTGTTTTTTAGTTTATATTAATTTTATTTTAGTTTTAGTGCCTCATTTTAAACTAAAAGAAAATGAGAAATATTGCACTGGCAACAAGAATCTTAGCAGAACAAAATTGCTTAGCAAGTTAGTTAATATCTAGCTACCTGATTTACAACATCTCTCAGCCTGTCGAGGTTTGTTACGACGACAGACAGAGCGAATCGCTGGCCAGCGTTGGTGCGCTGGTGTTCTTGTGTAGAGTGTGTTTCTGGCTCTTGCTGTGTCATCTCAACTGTGCTAAAATGCTTAGTTTGTTTGCATGCTGCTGTTCCACTCTCTGTACCTGTGGGTAACACACACTCTTCATCTCTCTCTCGCTCTTCTGCTGTGTGTGTGTGTGTGTGTGTGTGTGTGTGTTTGGTGCTGCTGAAGGGAGGATTCAGGTCACTGCAGGTAATTCTTACATATTTATTTCCCCTTTGCTAAAATCTTTCTTTAAACTCAGTGTGAAACGCTGTTAAAACCCCATTTTACTTTCATAATATGGCTTTTCCAAATTAAACAGCATATTCAACTACATTATCATCGATGAATCGGAAAAATCAGTCACTCAGGTTAAATGTGAGAGAGTGAGCGAGTGAGAGAGTGAGAGAGTGAGAGAGTGAGAGAGAGTGAGAGAGTGAGAGAGTGAGAGAGTGAGAGAGTGAGTGAGAGAGTGAGAGAGTGAGAGAGTGAGAGAGTGAGAGAGTGAGAGAGTGAGAGAGTGAGAGAGTGAGAGAGTGAGAGAGAGTGAGAGAGTGAGAGAGAGAGAGAGTGAGTGAGTGAGTGAGTGAGAGAGTGAGAGAGTGAGAGAGTGAGAGAGTGAGAGAGTGAGAGAGTGAGAGAGTGAGAGAGTGAGTGTGAGAGAGAGTGTGTGTGTGTGTGTGTGTGTGTGTGAGAGTGAGTGAGAGAGTGTGTGAGAGTGTGAGAGAGAGAGAGTGAGAGAGAGAGAGAGAGTGAGTGTGTGAGTGTGTGTGTGTGTGTGTGTGTGTGTGTGTGTGTGTGTGAGAGTGAGTGAGTGAAAGTAAAGTTTAAGGATATCAAAAACATTTTATCTACTGCGGCACATACTTATTTTTTTAATATGTCCTAATATGAATTGTGATTAGTTGTGTGTCCACAAGCAGTGATTTTTGATTTAGAAATGACATCATCACTGGATCTGCTGATGTCATAGCTTGCAGTATTTATGTCTTAAAAAGTCGAGTTTTCTTTGTTGTTCTCTCGTTTCAGCCGTACTACACCAGTCGGCCCACTTTACCCGCCACTTCTGGGCGTGTCCAGCCAAGCTCCGCCCCCCGGCCCATCCCTCCCCCCCACGGGACACGCCCCGCACACGTGTTTCAGCCCGGCCCCTCCCAGATGATGATGATTCCCCAGCAGCAAATCAGCTTCCCCAACTCGCAAGGCGCGGCTTACTATATACCTGGCCAGGTAAATCGCGTGTCTACCCATAATGGATCATCACTGAATAACAACACGGAGGATTCCAGGAGGAATTATGAGCGGAAAAGCACATTTTGAACAGAATTTGACTACTTCCCCGACTATATGCCCAAAATACGTTGTAATCAAATTAATTTCACATGATGCAGTTCAGAGTCGGAAACACTACTGTAAACCTTGCCGAACTGCTTGTAATTAAAGTAGTTAAAATCCATAATGTAGCATCACTGAATTCAAATACGGTGGATTTCAGGAGAAATTATGAACCTAAAAACACATTTTAAAGGAACACGCTGACTTTTCGGGACTTTAGCTTATTCCCCGTATCCCCCAGAGTTAGATAAGTCCACACACACCCTTCTCATCTCTGTCTGACGCACCCACCGCTAGCCTAGCTTAGCACAAACACTGGAAGTTAATGGCTCCAGCTAGCATACTGCTCCCAATAAGTGACAAAATAACGCCAACATTTTCCTATTTACATGTTGTGATTTGAAGGCGAAGCACTGCTACTTGGGCGGAGTGATTTGCTCGCAGCGCCTGAGAAGCCCGTGGTGAGGAGCAGAGAGTTCGCTCAGAGCGTTGCGCTAATCACTCCGCCCAAGTAGCAGTGCTTCGCCATCTGAGAATATAGTTCCTACTTATCTAACTCTGGGGGATACGGGGAATAAGCTAAAGTCCCAAAAAGTCGGCGTCTTCTTTTAAACGGGATGATTACAACATGAATTTCACAATGCGGGTCAGAGTTGGGTACGCTACTTTCTGGTGTTCTGGGGTCCTTCATTTCAGAGTCATACTCAGGACCTTCGGGTCCAAATGGGCCGGAAGGGTGGGATTAATATTTATTTTTAAAAAATCATCTTTTTTTTTTTTACTTGTTTTTTATAATATTTTTTCTTTTCTTTTTTGGTGTTTTGAGATAATTTCAAAAATAAAAATGATTTATAATTAATATTAATGCAATAATTATGACCCATTTTTTCCCCATTGAATATAATAGAATATATATATATATATATATATTTTTTAAGCTATTTCATTTTAGAGTCAAGCCTAGGCCTCATGAAAGCAATTTTTGAAATGAGATGGATGCCATCTGGTGGACAAACTGAGCATTTTAAAAATTCAAAACCCATGTGTAATCTAAATTTATTAGTGTGTATGTGTATAAAAGTGTGTTTGTGTGTGGATGTGTCTGTTTTGCACTCTTGATGTTTTATAGATTCACCCCTTCACTGTTGTGTGCTTTTTTTCTGGATCGTGGCTGATTTGTAGATTGTATGCACAAAAAAATTCTGTATTTTCACATTTTTGCCAATTTCCCATTCATTTCCTATATGCGGGTCCATTTGGACCCGAAGGTCCTGAGTGTGACTATTTTTTTTACAACCACTTAGACTATTCAAATCCTGTCCCCAATTTTTTGGGGTGTTCATACACCAAGTACAAACAAAGTCACCAAATTTCGGACCATTCCGATAAAGCTATGATTTAAAAAAATATATATATTTAAATGCTTCGGGTCCATTTGGGCCGAAGGACCCCAGAGGGTTAACACGTCTTCATCGGAATGGTACGAAACTTGGTAAAGGTTTCGGCACTTGCTGTGTGAACACACACAAAACAAATCATGGACATGATACGAAAAGGTTAAATAGTCCTGTAAACAATAGTCCCACTTGTGCTCCTCGCGGTCAGAAATGACGCATTGGAAACGAATGTGAGTCGAGTTTCCTCTAGTGGAAGCGTCCTCTAGTGGAAGCGTTCGGTACTGCAGCCGAACAACATCTCACTGAACGCTCATTTACTGACATATCAGATGCACATTTAGAGCACAGCTTGTTTAGATTTATGGCTTATAGAATAAAACGTTTTTGAAAATATATATTTCATATAAAAATTAAAAATGGTATTTTTGCACATTTTCCCTAACAATAAACGTAAAATTCCTTTAACTTTAAGTTCACATTTTTTCACTCCAGCAATAATCTTCCATGTGTCGTCTCTGAGAAGAGATCAAACTGAAGTCTGTCGCTCTAAAGCGCTCAAGATTTACCACAGTGTAAGCTGGAAATTTAATCTATCCTCAAAAAGTGAATAAATGGATTATAAATACAGCGTAAATATAATTTAGTACCATTAAAATACCCTAAAAATATAAAATAAAAAATATTATCGAACTAAAATATAGTACAATAATTTAATTTAAATAATACAATTATTTTCGGTAATTTTTGACCGACACGCGAAGAGCACCAGAGGGTTTAAACTCGCCGAACTGCGTGTAATTTAAAGTAGTAAAAATAGTAAAACAAAAGTGAATATGTAAACATCTGTATTTATGCGGAGTGAGAGGCTTCACTAGCCCAACGCCCGTTTCCGACTCAGTTCCGCTCTACATTAATTAGTTCTGGCTTGACGATTATAGCTTTTATTTTTCATTCTTCTGTTCTGAATAATGTTGAGTTTACAGGATTTGTCATGAAGTGAGGGAAACTAAAATAGCCTATAGATATGTTTATGTTTGTAAACATTTCACTTTATTTACTGGTATTTTACGTTCATGTAATAATTAGTGCTGTCAAACGATTAAAATATTTAATCACGATTAATCACATTAATGTCATAGTTAACTCGCGATTAATCGCATTAATGCCATAGTTAACTCGCGATTAATCGCATTAATGTCATAGTTAGCTCGCGATTAATCGCATTAATGTCATAGTTAACTCGCGATTAATCGCATCAGTGTCATAGTTAGCTCGCGATTAATCACATTAGTGTCATAGTTAACTCGCGATTAATCGCATTAGTGCCATAGTTAACTTGCGATTAATCGCATTAGTCTCATATTTAACTCACGATTAATCACATTAATGTCATAGTTAACTCGCGATTAATCACATTACTGCCATAGTTAACTCGCGATTAATCACATTAATGTCATAGTTAACTCGCGATTAATCACATTAATGTCATAGTTAACTCGTGATTAATCGCATTAATGTCAGTTACCTCGCGATTAATCGCATTAGTGTCGTAGTTAACTCGCGATTAATCGCATTAATATCATAGTTAACTCGTGATTAATCGCATTAGTGTCAGTTAACTCGCGATTAATCGCATTAATGTCATAGTTAACTCGTGATTAATCGCATTAGTGTCAGTTAACTCGTGATTAATCGCATTAATGTCATAGCTAACTCGTGATTAATCGCATTAGTGTCATAGTTAACTCGCGATTAATCGCATTAGTGTCAGTTAACTCGCGATTAATCGCACATTTTTATCTATTCTAAATATCTCTTGATTTTTTTTTTTTTTTTCATTCTTTTTTTTCTCATTTTAATGCTCTTATCAACATGGAAAAGTGGATCGGCTTGCTTTGTGCAAATGTTTTTTATTGAAAACAACATTGGCATATACTGTTCAATTTCACACTAACATTCTCACTTGGAGCAAATAATCTCTCACACAATGTAACACTGTCCATCAATAAAAGGG